TGATTTTAAGAGCATACATGACATTTCCAAATGCTGTGTGTAAAAGTTAAATTTATAATAAATTCTGAATAGAACCGTTCAAACTTTTCATTGATTGTCTAATGAATATTTATAACAAGTATTTTTCTGCTCTGCCTTTTGTTTTTGTGTAAGCTATAGGTAGTTTCGTATTTGCTTCAATGCTGCCTTTTCATTTACTTTGACGTTGTTACCAGTTATAAATGCTTTAGCAGCATGCTTCCGTGGATAGCCTGATCTCTTTCATAGACAATGTTTGAATACAAAACATCGTTTGCTACAGGTGGGTAACTAATCCTATAACTGGCTTCGAGGACACAATAGAATTATTTGGGAACAAGTTCGCCTCCTTCTGCAATTTTCTTTTTAATGATACTTCCAATTGAAAAATAGTCTAAATCCAAACCGCTGTCATTGCTAAGTTATGCAATATTATGTTACATTCCATCTGGCATTAGATAATACACTAGAAGGTAGAATCTCTAATTATTAGTGGAATGTGTTTTAGGTATAGGTACATATATTTTAAGGTGCTATCTATAATTGGAGATCTATCTTGAAAATGTGTCCTATAGATAACTCTTCCGATGACCACTAAAAGGTAAATATTTGTGCCACTCGTACTAAATGTGCTTTTCCAATCCACATGTTAAAAAATTATAGGCATTCATTTGAAGAACTTGTAAGCTTTTAAAATTTTGGACCAGCACTATCTGGAGTATGCCTTGAAGCAACTTCTGTTTACAGACAAAGTCTGTAAGATACCCAAATACCACCGTGATGTGTTTACAGTTTATAAGAGAATTAAATATCAAGTCCTTCTTGGTGTGCATTTCTAAATGAGCATTAAATGAATTGAGGGAAGAACTGGAAAATTTTCGTATCTGGCACATGCCAACTGAATGATGACGTTCACCTTCCATGTACAGCAGACTGGGTGGCGCAGGGACTTTCTAATGGTCATTAGGGTCTGACTGGGAATTAGTTTACTCCTGTAAATGAATTTCACCTGGAAATGTCATTTCTACACCATCATCGGTATTGTCTGGGGCGGATGAGCGATGATGCCGAACGGCTGACAGATGGAGTGTTAAATGAGTTCCAGCTAATTCTGACAGCCAGTGCTTCCCACTACCCTTGGTTAAAAATTAACATTTAATAGTGGGGGGGGGGATGAAACCTACCCAATACCTACAAGAGAGGGTTAACACCATGAATTAGTATCCAACATTTCTCTTTCTAGGAGGGAGACTGAGTCAATCGGGGAAGTTACGATGACTTCTGAATAAACCCAGAAGTTCCTTACACCCTATCTTCTGTCAAATTAAACTCACAAGCACTGTTACAGGACTGTTGATCACAGGAGGGTTAACATTTATGTGCAGCGGGTTTATTTTAGTTCTCAGGGCTTGTCTTCTCAGATTTTCCTATGAAATGGAGCACAGAAATGGTGTATTTTTTAACAACCTAAAAGATCCTCAAGGGCTTGGGGTGTGACTCAGTGTTACAGTGTTGGTTTAGGATGCAGGAGGCCCTGGATTCTGTCCCAACCACCACTCTCCCCCTGAAAAAAAACTTCAAAGTAAGAGCGTGCTTTTCAATGGCTGTGTACCACAAGCAGCTAATTAGCCAATTAGGCTTTTCACCACTGATTCAAAGCAGAAAAGGTAACTTAGCACGATGCTCTCATTATAGGCTTCGGAAGCAAGAGTTGAAATCACGGACTGTCAGTACTCGGCAGCAGAGGCAAGTACCGATTGCCTGAATGATTTATACTCCAGTGGGAAAGTCTCCGGGTGGCTTTATCAAGAACAGCCAAATAGACGACTCTGGCAGAAGCATGAGCTTGGAGTTAAAAACTGATTTTGGAAAAGTCCACATGAAAGATGGCCAAGATACACAGACCCACGTTGCTGTAATTACCGCTGGATCTCCACCTGCCCCCACCTCACACAACTCTTTTTAGCGCCTTCTGTCTCCTTCTGGCTTTGCGGCTCTTGTGGGAGAGCCTCACCAATACCAATCCTGTCTTTGTTTTAGTACAAAATCGTGGAAGGAATTCTGCGACCAGAATTGTGGAAAGGAATTAAGTTTGTGAACCAAGGTCCACTGTATACTAGAAAAGATGAAAAAATGGTGGTTATAGGTGGAAAGTAATGCAATTTAATAAGATAAAAAGGTGAAGATAGAAATGTAAAACAAGTACTTAAGTAATGCAGAAAATGAAAATGGGCAGCACTGACCATTCCAATAAATGTGTTGGAACTGGGATGGAAACTTGAGGGTGCTCAGCAGACAGTCATGTGGAAGTGAACCGTACCATCTCGGGTCACTTGTGCATGGGAATGATTTACTTCAGGAAGGCAGAAGGCATTTCTTCTATATCTTGATGTCAAGGTCTATCTATTTCAAAGAGGAGGAGCAAGAGGGTAGAGTTCAAGGGATCACTACCATACAATAAGAAAGAAATATCAGTTAATTACGAAGAGAATTTAAATGTGGCCTATCTCTCAAAGTACACAAGGGGAGATGGACATAGGCAGTGAACCTTTACATACAACGTATGTATTCATAGGCGAAGACTCGTCGCCATGGATCCCCCTCAAAACCCTCCTGGCTTTGAGCTCATTTGTCCCACTGTTCTTGCCACTTTCCGTAGCACCTCTGGAGTCCCCTTTCATAAGCGTCTTTAGCTGTGCTGCCCTGGCTGCTTGTACGGGGAAAATGTCTCCTCAGCACAAGTGCCAAGAGGCGGGGCCCAATGGGACATGGGTAGGACTCAAGGATTCTGCTCTGAGCAGCAGGTACCACTGTCACTGAGTGGGTTGCTTATAGGAGAGCTGATAGGTACCCTTTTCTCTCTCTGCCACAGGATGATGGCTCAAGATGCCAGACTTGACCCTGGAGCTCCTGGTCAGGAAATAAATTTGTGCTTTCTATGAATTCCCCAGTCTGTGGCATTCTGTGACAGCAGCACAAATGGCTGGGACAGTACTCTGCCTATCTTTGGGCATGTAAGTGAAACTAGGCATTGTAAGAACATGTTCAACGAAGTTTAAAAAAGCATGTTATTTTACAAAGTGGTACTCTATAAAAAACAAAATCTCAATCAGAAAAAAAGAATCAAATGTGTACCTGTGCAGGTACAAATGCCCTATGATGAATGTGATCAGTATATATACATAAAGTATACCAGTAAACTTAATTAAAAACAAATAAAATCTAGGTTTTAGGTTTTAATAAAAATTAGTAAGTGAGACCAGTAGAGCTAGCCTTTATGTTTGAAAGAGATTATTTCAATCTGGTAAGACAACTTTCAGCTACATTCTATGAGATCCCTACTGTCATAACTCCAGTCTCTAATCTTAATTTGATAGCACATTAATCTAGAATGTTATCATCCAAACTATGCTCTCAAGGATATCACTACTTCTTTAATTAGGGTAAGATTTTATGTTAAATTAAAAAATGGCCATTTGTTTGAGGCTGCTAAGCAAGAATGTAAAATGCTATGAAATACTCCACTGAAAGAAAAATAAATGACTTCAGACAGATCTGCTAAGTGGATTACTGTTGTAATAGTATTTATGAAATTCACATTTAAAAATGTGACAAAGACATGTATGACGATTTTAAATGTGAATGAAACTGCAACTGCAAAACAATATAAAGTGCGATCCAATTTCGTAAAAAAAAAAAAAAAAAAAAAAACCAACAACCCCATACTAATTATATAAAATCACACAGGAATGAAAACGAGTGGACAAAGTGCCTGAGCTATTAACAGTGCTTACACGGGGGATAACACGGGGTGAGGAGGAAACATATTTTTAGTTTAGAGTTCTGCATTGTTTTCAGGAACAATATACTGTTTTTCAAATAAAAATAACTTTAGTTAAAATCAGTCTATGCATGAGAAGTAGTGAGGGGCTTCTGACGTACTGGTAACTTCCTATTCCATGAGCAGAGTGCTGGTCACATGGCACGTTCACTCTGGGGAAACCCACTGAGCTAGACTTACGATCTGTCCAGTTCTCCAAAAAATTCATTTACAAATGGCTTCATAGTGACTTACTGAATAGCATTCTAGCTCTCATTAAACATATTTTCTCTGTATTCATGTGTTGGACAGCTTTCTTCTTGCATTTTCATTATGATTTATTCACCCATTTCTCCTTAACAGAGTTGCAATGCAAAAGCATTACTAATTAATTTTGACAGAAGGCCAAATCGCTAGCTGGTAAGAATAACATGTAAGAAAGTCCTAACCCTTTCTTACGTGTACAAGGTAGACCGCAAGGTACAGTGACTTAGTAATCTTGCTAGGAATTCATCTAGTAAAAACATTTCTTTTGTAGTGCACAACTACCTAGAATGAGATGGAAAGGATTAATAGAGAGGTGAGAGTGATTGTTAAACAGGCAGCACAAAAAACAAACCAACCATCCAACCAACCCTAATGATAGGAGGACCAAAAAAAAGAAAAAAATGGTGGTTTTCTTTGTGACCGGTCCTGACTGTATTGTTTTGAATATGAAATCACTGGGTCAGAGTTACAAGGAACTACTGTATGAAGATTATTCTACCTCACACTTTCTCAATCAGATGTTAAATAAAAAAAAAAAAAGTTTTAAAATGTTGCAATTTGTTTTGTAGGGTTGTTTGCTTTGGTATGAAGGTTCTGATGGTAGACAAAATTAAAAGTGCATTCAAACAAATATTTGTCGTATTCAGCAGAAAAGCAGGCCGGATGTGGGCAGCTGAACAAGGTTATAGTATGACTGAGCTGCAGCTCCATGTAATTTCTATAGCAGCAGGAATGAATTAAAGTGTTTTCTCATTATCATACGGAAATGTATGAATTACTTTCAGACTTGGATCTGGTACTATATGTCTCAATCTAGTTTGAAATACAAATATATAGAATCCATATTTTATATAGAATAATAGCATTTGCAAAGGCTAATAATGAGACAGGAAAATCAAAGTTTAAAATCTGTATCTTTAATGTATCAAGTAGCAAAGAAGTATTAGTATTTTATTACAGACATTTAAATAAAATGTACAGCAACTTTATGGACAGCACTTATCTACATTTGTACATCAAGGTACTTCTGGGAACGTCAGTCCAAAGTATGAGCAAACTAAAGCAGGGAAAATTAACAGAAGACCTAGTGTGTCTTGGACCATCATTTTACCACTTCTAAGTTCTCTTTATTTAAAAACAAAGTAAGGATAATTTATCTCACTACTGCTTTCTAAATCACCCTCAACTTGCTATAAAAGGGAGCTGCCACAGGGCTGAGTTAGGAATTTTGAAGGGTAACAAATATTTCAGAAACTTAAGACATAACCTTTTCTGTTGAAATTTTATATTTACTCAAAGTACCAAAGGAAACAGTTTCATTTTCTGCTTGCTGAAGATGTTTGGGTAAATAGCTCTAGAGGGTCTTCTTTCAAGGGTTTTAAACACACTTCTGGAAGCACGCTGACAAACCCCTTTCAAAAGCAGACTCGACAGGTTTCATTGTCCTTGACTTTGAAGTGACTTATCTTACATTTCCTTTTGAAATGTCTCTTCCAAATTTCCTAGCCATGTTCGAGTTTAGCTTATGGATGTTTTTTTTGTGCCCTACAGAAAAAAAGAAACAGAAATGGAGTACAAGCATAGAAACGAGTTTTCACCATTCATTCAACTTATAAAAATAAAAGTTATAACCAAAGGAAAGAAAATTCACTCTTGAAACATAATTTAAAATACAGTAAAGATACATTATACCTTGAGCTTAGAAGCTGATTACCAAGTTCCGTGACGGGTGTGCGCTTTGTTATCAGGTGAAGTCCTGAATAAATGCTACACTCACTCTACACACTCTTTCCTGCCTTTCTTGTATACATGATTTTTTTACTCTTTAGATTTTTTACACTGGGGGTTCAAACTCTGACCGTGACCGTGGACTCCCCCAAGTTGATCTCAGTTTTGGAGGCACACGGTTTCTTTTAATTTCTGTAACTGCTCAGCTAACAACACTGGCCCACTGAGGGTCCTTCGCTTTTCATTTGTATGCTGTTAGCTGAAGAATTTAGGGGAGCTGAGCATGACGGTGCATGTTCTGCTCCCAGCATTCTGGGAGATTGGGCCAGGAAGACTACAAGTTCAAGCCCAGACCAGGCAACTGAACAACTTCTCGAGACCCCGTCTCAGAAAAGGTCTGGGGATATAGATCAGTGTGAAGGCCTTGGGTTTAAATGTTGGTACTGCAAAAGTGAACTAAGGAAAACACCTTCTAAAGAGAGTTTCCATTTTTACTTTTCTAGAAATTTCTGATATGTATTCAGGTATTTTTCAAGTGGATATTCTAATGTATATAAAATATTATCGTCTTTTAGTGCCTCCTTCTAAGTGCTCCTTAATCCTTAAGAATCTATAATTAAAAAAAACCCTATTGTTAGCTTTTTTCTTCTTTGGCAAGAATTATAGCTTAGTATTATCTATCACTTTTCCTTCCATAGTAATTTTTTCCAACTTTGCTTTAAATAAAAAAGAATTTGATCTATGTTTTTACCATTCCTAGACAAAATAAAACCAATTTTCCACGATTTGAGAATTTTCACAAGTTTATTATTTAGTTGCGGAATTATGACATCGTGACACGTTCTCAGGAGACAAATGCGGCAGTTCTGACCCACACCAACTACAGACACATAGTGGCCAGCATTACAGAACACCGAATGTGACCCCAAATAACTAAGCTTCATTTTAGTACCTAGTTACCTGACTTCATTTTAGTACCTAGTTAAATTTGAATTAAGAGGTATTTACATTGAACTTAAGGTAAACAACTGCCACTGGCTACTATAGGAAATAAACATCGAAGTTTTGGCAGTTTTGAGAAATTTTATGCAATTCAAACAGCACTGACAAAAAAAGAAAAAAAGTTTTCCTGTTATTCATGGAAACATCATCTCATGAGACCCGTACACGAGGTGCGACGAGTTCCTTCCAAGAAGAAAACAAAATGGTCATACAGTATTTATCTTTGTGTTCACTACAGGACCTAGCACAGGCAAACACTTAGGAAAGAGGCACTTTCTGAATGACATCTTCAAAGCAGCGTCACAGACACAGAGGTTTGGACGTCATGATCTAGAAACTGGTGGGCGAAATCTGCCTCTCAATCAACTGAAGGGCCTCTTCTGTCACTCCCACATGGAGCTGAGGAGATACAGTCACTTTTATTATTATCTTTTTCAACTTGCCAATGAAAGTTATAATCACCGGGCACAAATAGAAGCCAGTACAGTAATCACACAACTGAGTCAGAGGCCAAATTATTAGAACAGGTTAAGAGGAAAATTACAAGTGGGTAGAGTTTATAAAACATACTTAATTAGCTTATTAAATAATACATTTGACTATTAGCTAAATTATTTACCAATTCTGTGATATGAGGTAGCACAGATGATGGAAGGGACCAGAACGTAAAGCTGGGAGTTCTGGTTCGAGTTCTAGCCCCAGCATGATCTTAGACATGTGCTTTACATGCTGTGCCTTAAGTTTCCTCATCTGTAACATATGGATAATTACACTGTTCTACTATATAATAAATGTGGTCAGTAGTACATAAATGGGAGTTTTTAAGAAAATATTGTAAAAAATAAAAAGTATCATTTGTTTGTTAGATAATCATGTCATTAACAAATTAAGAGCTGAGACATACCTATGGTTGAGCTGTTTTCTTGTAAGAGCTTATTGCCTGCATTGTCTTGTCGAACACGTTTGGCAAATCCATGATTTTCTTCAGCAGTTAAAGGATTACTTGATGTGGAACTTGAGGGGAAAAATTATTATTTTTAGTGAAGCAGTTTTTATATCTTTAAGTTCTAATTCATGCTATATAGGCAACACTGATAAAAATCAGAAATGCGAAGTTGTGAAATCTCATCTATCAGTGGGAGGCACTAAAGACATTCTCCACATGACACCTTTCCAGGTTGGACGCTATGACCACAGGTGCATGTAACAGTGTTATAGCCGGGTATTTCCAGGTCACTCTGCTAAAGTGTAAGTGATCAGCGCTACTTGTAGAGTAGAGATGGCAGCACATGGTCACAAATGATGAAAAACTAAGCTCTTTGTCAAATTGAAGCAAGAACCCTAATGTGGGAGATGTTGACAGCTGAGATGATCTAGAAATCCATTTTTGAATCAGAACAGTAATACTTTATAATAAAATTGAATTGTTACAATTACAGTAGTAGTTATAGAAACTGCAAGGTATAACCTATTTTCATTTATTCCATCTTCAGAACTATAACCAAGCACACACTGGTTATTTAAGAGGTCAAATTCTACCACAACTTGAGCTGACATATGCAAGCTTGGAGGCTGAATGAGGGGGAGCACATCTCTCGTATACTGACTAACGTCAACCCATTTTAGGGATTCTTCTTTTTTTTGGCTACTAAAGACACTATATGACATTTTCCAAACTGATGCTGACTTGACTGTCAGCTGCATTAATAACTAAGGGCTCCCTTGAATGGCAACAAGTTGCCTTTCTGGTAATTCCAATCACGTGGTGAACTAGCAGGAAGTGTATGTTTGAGGAACAGGGAAAAGATAGGTTAGCTATGTGCTCACTGCAAACAAATGCCAAGCTTTTGAGCACACTGAATGTGGAGAACAGTAACTTGAGTGGTGTACCTCCGTCTTCCCGAGCCCCTGAGAGAAGTGAGCGTGGTGTTCGTAACAGCCTCCCTGTGTGTGCTCTGCTCAAGAGCACAGGTGATGCCTAGCCAAAATGCTTACAAAGTACTAGTGCATGTAAGAAACACACTCAGTTGTAGAAATTTTTTATTCCTAGATAGTCCTAAAGTTACTACATTTCTATCTGGATTTTTACAGTGTTCTTGACTTTATTTCTTCAAGTATACACCTCAATGTCATTAGTTACTTTTGAAAAGAGATAATAAATTTATAATAAAGTTGTCTTTATTATTTTATGTATGATTCTTTACTTTGGTTAATTCTAGGACCTCACTTTTTACTTGTAGCATACTTGCATTTGAAAATCAAGTTTCTGTATAAATCTATCTGATTGAAACTCATACTACTTCTAGGAATAAAATCCAAGCCAAATAAATTAGGTTGCATATGAATTACTCTTATTATTAATATATAGGCCAAGTACAATAAAACATTTTTGGGATTTATATAAAATGGTCTGCTGATGAAATCTTTATAACACATATAAAATTTAAATTGTGTTAAAGATACTGACAAGAAATCTAAAGATTCTTCCAAGTGTGTACAAAATATATTTCTAGAACTATTAATAAAGTAAACTTTTGCTCCCTCATTTTTATAGAGTGGTTCTAATTAATAAAGAACACATCTCGGGGCTGAGGATTTAGCTCAGCGGCAAAAGCGCCTGCCTGGCAAGCACAAGGTCGTGAGTTCAGTTCCCGGTACCGGAGAAAAACCAAAAAAAATAAATAAGTAAATAAAGAACACATCTCATATTCTTTCAGTTGAAAATAGATTTCCAACTGGAATGTCTAGACAACTAACAACAACAACAACAAAATCAAACAACCAAGTAAACACAAGGAGAAACCCAAAACTCTTATTGAAATAATTATAAGACAAAACTAATGTACACAGTGTATGGCCTTGATTTACATATTTAGGAGGCCAATTAACTTATTCAAAATGGTCTACTCCAGTGATATTAAATACACCGTTAAGATTAAAAATAGAATATTCCCAAGGTTAAGTAACAAGAAAAAGTTGATAAGATTTTGGATTATTCAGTGCTTTTAGACTAATTTTTTATTTTCCTGAGGACAAAACCAGTATAAATAAGATATATACTTTTCTTCTTCATTTTTAAAAACAGAATATATGCTTGTGCATACACCAAATAAATATATATACCACCAAATATATATCTATATCTATCTATCTATATAAACATATATAGATAGATATATAAGACGCTTCTTTGTGGAAAATACCAGTTTATTACTTTCAAGCTCATGTAGATTTAATTAGGGAAAAGGAAGGTTAAAAAAAGTAATTATGTACATTTCTAATCTCTTTTAACCTTCCTTAATGGCAGGATCTAATTATTGGTACCAGAGGGAATGTAATAAGAGTAATTAATAGGCTGTGAAAAAAAATCCAAGTACCTTTATGTGTCCTTTAATATTACACAATATTAGCTGCTCATGTGGAAGTCCTTTAACTCACCTAGGCCACTCCAGATACACACTTTACACACCTAAACATTTCTTGCAAAAAATAATGACCAAGTTCACATTTGAAGATTATTTGTAGCTGTAATGTCTGCCATATTTAGTGAATACAACAGAGTAAAAGAACCAAAAACCTCCACATAGGCATGAATGACAAAGCTGACACAATATAAAAGGGTGACAGGATGGATGGAATAGAGAGAAGTAGTTAGCCAGGCTTCTTCCTGAAGTGACTGAGGCTCATGCATGCGCCAGACTAATCACTCAATTGAAATTCCTGTAGAAAAACACACCAGGCCCTCTTTAGCTGCAGAGTATTATTCCAAGACCATCAGGGGTAATCAAGAATACTGAACCTAATATGACCTATATTCTTTCTTACTTGAACATATTTATGATAAACTTTTACCTTTTCTTTAAAGGAAGCAAGCAATTTATGGCTTCTCTAAGGCATATTGAAATTGCTAGCACCACTACCCTTTGGCTCCAGGAAAACTGGTAAGTAAAATAAGGGTTAGCTGAGCACGCACTGTGACGTCCTGTGATGGCAGCTGATCTGAGAGCCGAGACACTGCTAAGGGTGGGCTAATGGAGTCACACAGGCAGCGGGATGAGGGGGGACAGTGGATTTCATCACGCCTCTCAGAATGACACTCAACCGGTAAGACTGCTACGCTGCTCATTTCTGGAATTTTCCACCGAATATTTTCAAGCCTTGGTGGTCTGTGGGCAACTGAAACTACTGAAAGTAAAACCACGAACAAGGAGGGAGGCTATCGAGCAAATCCTTAGATGTTATGCATACTCAGAGAAATGCAGGAAAAAAACAACTCAGGGACTTTAAATTAACAGCATTTCCAGTTCTGCTGTCCTTGGGTTTTGAGAGGCAAAGGCAGATCTCAAGTTCACAAGTCAGAAGATATGCTATGGAGCATGAGTAAGTGTACCATTTCTTAAGGCATTTCCTGTAGTCCACATGACAGCAGGTCCACAGTAGAAAATGGGAAGTTTAAAAAGACCTAAGGAGCCAGGCGTGGAAGCGCACACCTGTAATCCCACCACTCAGGAGGCTGAGGCAGGACTGCCACCTATGCAGTGAGTTCAAGGCCAGCCTGAATTACATAGTGAGACCCTGTCTCAAAAAAGGCAAAAAAGCCAAAAACACCAGACCAAAGGCCTGATACTTATATTTTCATAGTAGTACGGCAAAGAAAAACTGGTAGAGAAAATCAGATCCGCTTTACAGTAGTTCAGTGCATTTTGTCACCACGTTCATTTTGGAAGACATGAAGAATGTGTGATGAGATTCAGGCCCTGTAACTCGGTCTGCTCTTGGAGTATAGCTGTTTCATTACTATGTACTAAAGTGTGTTTCTCTTCGGGTTAGTCCTGCACGTAATGTGTAGCACTTCTCAAATGTATGATCTGTCTTTTACCAGCTTTTAAAAACTCATCTCCTCAAATACTGTTTTTCCACATTCTTTTTTAGCTTCCTGAGACTCAAAATGTACCCATCCCAGACTTCTGTAACTGTGTCCTCTATGTCTCTTCCACTTCTTTCCACATTCTCCATCTGTCCTTTTGTGCATGTGAAGAAACTGGTACAATGAATCACTAGTTTTTAATTTCAGTAAATTCTACCCTTTTGGTTCTACAATATTAGTTTGCCTCATTTTAAGAGAATCCAGTTCCTTGTCAAATTTTCTACATTATCTACTTTGCTGAAATTAATCACAGTTAAAAATTTAAAGTTGTTATTCAATACAGTAAGTTCCATTCTAGAAAAACGTTCCTAAGTCTGACAAAGTGAGTCTTACGCACCTTTCACACAAATATACAATATAAACTACAAAAAACCCGAACACACACACACAAATACAGTAAATCCCTGACTAAATAGTAGCACTGTACATTACTGCACTGTACAGTAAACACCCCGTAGCACAACTGTGATAATGTCCAGCAGACACGTGAGCTACTTCTGTGATTTGTTTGCATGTACAAACATTTGTTTGCAGATACAAACATGCGTGGTCCGTTTGTATCTGTGAAAGTTCACAACTTGAATGTTACTAAGTCAGGGACTTACTATAATTCCAAGCTCTGTAGTGTTTATGGATCACCGCTTCTCTGTTTTCCTCCCTATCGGCTTTTAGTCACTTGCCTGTGTCTCCTGGCACCCTTAGCACAGCCTCGCGAGGGTCTCAGGTGAACTGCTCGCTGTTTGATAGAGCCTCTTTTTTGTTATGCTTGCCAACTGCAAGTTTTGTAGCTCAGCCCCAACAGCATGTCAAAACGCTGCTTTGCATCGTATCTCTCGGCAGCTACCTTCAGGCTGGTTTCTGAGCTGCTTAGTCCATAGTGTAGAAACTGGCAAACTCTGAAGACAGGGGCTACACAAATGATTTTGTTTCCCTAGCTCAGTGAGTGCTGAGAATTCTGAACTTCCAGCTGCTGCTTGCCTGCATGCCATGAATGCAAAAGAGAGGTGGAGAAGCCCAGTGCTCCATAGCACGCTTGCCACTTTCTCTGGGACCTCAGACCCTCGGCTCCTGGCTGCCTTGTTTGTTCCCCAGGACTTCCAATCAGCCGTTACCGTACTTAACCCACCAGGACGGCTCGGTCTGACGTAGCTACACTGTCACAGCCAGAACCAGCAGACTCCTCACTTCATTGTACTTTTGCCATTTGTCAGAATCCACTAAAATGTAATACTAGGATGAAAGAAGTTCAGTAGTATTTAAAAGCACAAATAACTAAATGAGTAAAATTTGCTACCGGAAGAAAATTTAAAATTCAGTGACATTTTGAAAGCTAGACGACTTTTCAATTTACTTTTAATAATCTACAAGATGGAATATTTTATGTAAATGTCAAGTGAAATACGTGGGCTTTACAGTCTCCCTGCGATAACGTAAGTGCAGTGCCTCTTCACAGCCATTTACCCCAAGTGTGCTTAAATGTGAACCGCCGACCTGACTGCAGAAGTGAAAGCGCTGTGGAAAGAGGGTACGAAGCCGCGGCAGAGGCAGGTTACTGGGCGTGACTGTACCTGGCTAACTTCCGTTTCTTCTTGGCGGCAGCTGTCATTGCCATGTAGGACGGCATCGAGCTTGACACAGGTATGGGGTGTGTGGTTGAGAGCGAAGGCGGGGCAAGCCTGTCACGAAACAGTGAAAAATAAAACACAAAGACAGTAACTCTGGTTTATACTACAGAGACAAAAGGCACAGATAATTGCACAACTAGAGAACAGAGTCCGTTACTATAAAAGTTCCCTCACTTGTGCTAGGGTTTTGCTTTTTAAATACCATAGGCAGACGTGCTATTAAGAAATTTCTGCATTCCCCACAGCACAGAAAGGTGTGACCATGTGGATGAACGTTTGCTGAGGTAACATACAGCCCACCACTCCTCAGATGTATGAAAATCAGGGGAAAGGGGAACCTCCCTTGGTAGAGATGTTAGTGAGCAAGAGCGAGGGCGGCGGCCCTGCAGCGCTGGCCTGCGTTAAGGAGCCACAGCGTACAAGAGCACACTGTGTCCTAAAGTCTCGCGCAGCTTAATGCAGGTCACGTGACTCGATACCAAATTTAACGCTTGCAGTGGATTCAAGCTCAGATAATTAAGACTTAGACAAATACTGCTTTGTAATCAGGGTAGCATACTTGATCTAAGAAATAAATATCGCTAAAGAAGAAAAAGGAAGACAAGTTTAAGGGCTGTGTTTAAAAAAGAAAAAAGAACTGGCAAACATTCTCTTCTCATACCTTTCCAAAACGTTTTTGTTGTTTGGTAACGATTCTTGCTCGGGTAATTTACTATTCAGACTCCTGGCATCTTCACAGATAGAAAAGGTCGAGTTCAAACTGGCCTGTCCACGCTTTGCTCTCCAGTGAAGAGGGGTGTCTGTCTCGCCTGATGTGGCCAGAGGATTACCACTGCTTCCACGTGAGCTGACGGCTGGGAAGCTTGCAGTCTGTGGGCTTGGTTTTACCAAGGCCACTGGAGATGGATATGGAACAGTTTTTCTATAGTTCTCTGGAGTATACAAAATAGGCTGAAGTTCTTTGGTGAGAGAGTCATTGAGCTGCACAGTTTCAGACTTTTCCGTATGTTTTGCTTTTAAGGGGGACGGCATTAATTTTCTCCGAGTTCTTTTGTGTGGAGGAATTTGAAGCAGATTCGATTCACCTGAAGATGTGCCTGTTCAATAAAATAAAGAACTTCAACCCTGTTGCCTCATTTGGCAATAATACCATTAAAAATTGCTAATAATATGTACTTTTCTGCCAACAGACAGAAATTTGAAAGTAAGTAAGTTAGAAAGGAAGAAAACATGGTTTAATGCTAAAATCCTTTCAATAAAGTTAACTTACCAGAAACTTTATAACAAAAGTAAATGATAAATTCCTAATATTAACACCAACTTACAAGTATTACTCAGTGTCTTGAGACACCGAGAAATCATGAAAACAATTTTCGAACCAAGTCTACCAATTCACAAGCAACTGCCGACTTTCACACTTGACTTGAGTGTAAGACAACAGAAACACACTTAGCATTTGTACGCAAGGAGGTTAGTATTTGTCCTACTGTAGCACATCACCTGACTGTTAGTACTAGTTGAGTGAAAGTGTAGTCCACCTTAAAAAGAATGGCAGTAAGCAGTCAAACCCCAGGCTAAGGGCAGAACTGTATGCTATGATGAATGGTATATGGCTGACTCAGCGTACTAGTTGCTTGGTTGTCTCCCATATCATACTCACTCAGAATTTGCAAAAATCAGATTAATAAGAAAGGTAAATGAATGTAACTGGAAGGGTTTGGGCATTATAACTCTCATCACTCTGTAAAAGCCTGTTCCTCAAAAGTCATGATGACCTCTTCTCCAGCTTCTGCAGCTTTCCAGGCTCATTCCGACCACTCCAACATCTGTGTTATTCCCTTCCTCCTCCACCCAGGAAATGTGTATGATTCTCTACGGCGCTGTAATTCACCCTCTAACCCACATGTTTTCTTACTTCCTTTTACCACTACTTTCTTACATATCCGGGTCTCAGATAACTAGTTCTCTCTTGAATTTGCTGACGTCTATGAATCTCACTTCTCTCACATTTGTAGCTACAACATAACACTGTGTCATTCTTCCCATTCAAGGCTTTTGGGAACCCTTAACAGGAACAAAATATCCAGACATTTTTAGCAAAAGAATTCTTGGTCCTTGCTCCAAATTAAGAGACAAATTGTTTTGTTAGAAAGAACTTAAGTTTGGACTCCAACAGTACTAGATACACTTAAATACTTCAATATTTAAAGTACTTAAGGAACATCTCCAACGCCTTTTCTTAATGCTCCCCACGGCGCACTGAGTACGTATGTGCACGTGTGCTTCAGAGCCCGCTGTGCTTGTCTCTCACTCGGTGACTGACAGCTCCCATCTGCTTACCTCATGGTGGCTGACAGGAAGTGCCTCACCTTGGAGTGGACCGCTCAACAAAGAAACCAGAATTTATTATTTCTGCGGTATTTTCAAATCATGAGGTAAAATTCCCAACTGATGTTATATTCACTTTATTATGGTAATGCTAACTTACACAGCATAAATTTCACATATTTCAATAAAGCAATTCAAATTTTCAACCAAGTCAAAAAAATACATATATATCAGTCACCAATAGTATATGCATTATTCTTGTTATGTTAGTTGGCGGTATGGCTAGGTTGACAATTACCCTCTAGGAAATACAATTTAAAAACAGGAAGAAAAATATCATCCCTGTTCTACTAAGGAATTTTACTTTTCTGAGAACTAGATAAATGAGATCTAGATCTTAAAATAATTTTCCACTCCCTTTAACATGACATTTGTCAAATTTTCCATTACCAGATATTTTTATACTAATGCTGCAGTGTAAAGACAGTTACTTTTCTCCACTTGCTGCTACCACCAATTTGGTGGCTATTAATAGCTGGAAGATTAACTTCTTTTCCCATGAGAGGCAGCAGGGGGATGGAGGATAGAAAACTATATCGAGGATAGAGAACTGAATCGGGAGTCAGGAGACATGAATTCTATTTCTGGCTTCACCAACGACTCACTTAGTGACCTTGGGCAAACTCACTTAAAGCAGTGTGGGCACTAAACCCCCTAGTGAAAAGGCGACACCATGTTTTTATGAACAGGGAATTTTCTAGGCTTAGCTGACAGAAACACTTAGGGTTCAAGGGAAGCTCTTAAATAGAAATATGCTTCAACTGTTAGCATTAGAACTTTCTCTTTTTTTTTTTTGGTCGGTGGGGGTTTCCTGGTGCCAGGAATCGAACTCACAACCTTGCACTTGCCAGGCAGGTGCTGTACCGCTGAGCTAAATCCCCAGCCTCAACATTATAACTTTCATGGGAAAGGTAATTTACTTCCCATTTATCCATCAATAACTGCCTTACAATGATCTCTAAAACAGTACATTTCAAATACTGTCTGATTTTCAGTTGATCAGGTAAGCAAAGCTGACTGTAAACTGTGATATAAACCAAATTATTGTTAAAATGAGAACATGTGTTACCTGCAAATGCAGGTTTTATAACAACATTAAAAAAATGAGAACAAGACAGACCACAAATTTTAGGAATAAGGGTCACCCAGAGTCACCATTTCTCTTGTACATATCTAGAGGGGCCGCCTCAGGGTGGTGACCGGGCAGGGTCCCTCCACACGGACCAAATGCTTCCTGACAGCTCGTACAGAACACAAAAATGGAAACCTTCCCACAAGACACTGAAGAAATAATCACCTGGCCTCTGGGATAATCTAACCACAAATTCCACTCTGAATTCGGGATGACCACACTAACAATCTGTCAGTGGAAGGAATAGTCATGTCACAACGGTACATCTTCAGCTATAGCTTTCTGGTCCTAGAGCAAGCTGCAGGTGAAACACAGTGATGTAGTGGTTAACAGGGACAAACATATTATTACTTTATTGGGTGTGAAAGAAGACATGCTTCAGACATATAGCATGTACAGAACACAACTCTAGAAAATTCTCCACTTTTTAAAATCCTCTGAATTGTTCAATTCAAAAAAATAATATGAAGAGGCAAAAGGCCGGTGCAGCACTAGCCAGGGCTGACTAGTTGCTAAAAAAGGTTCTGGAGATGACTAGAGCAAAAAAATATGATTTAAAGATTTAGGTAAAAATTAAACAGTCACTCCACTGTAACTAACATAAAAGGATAATGATTCCACTTGTTAGTTCTTTTATATTACTACATGTTTACATTCCTTGTGTGGAGTTGGTACATGTATATAACACATCTTAATTCTTTTCTTTTCATCCTAAAACATGTACTAACCACCTGACATTTCATTTTGAACGTAATTCCTAGGGTATACAAACATAATAAACTATGTTTCAGGCAAGCTCTACACCTTAAGGGCATCTAGCAACTGGAGAGCATTGGGTCAGGAACACTAGAGGTCATCAGCTATAAGAACTAATGGGTAGGCCGGGTCTGTGTCTGTTAAGAGATGTACTGTAGTTTTCCATCAGAGGAAAAGGGTGCACAGTAAATTTCCAGAACAGCAGCTTTGGGGTAGTTGTCTAGATTCCCCTGATTCAGTTTCAGAAAACAATCTCTTAGGACTGCACAATCATTGGGCCAATAGAGCAGAATGATAAAGAAAGAAACTGGAGGTAGAACACAGTTCCCTTGGAAAAGTCAACAGGAAAGGAATCAACACCGTTGCAGGCTCAGAACAAGAGACCCTTAGAGAAAAGATAATCACTGAAATACCCTAGCAATGTGGATGCAACACGGGGGGAGGGGGGCAGGGAATTAAAAATGCGTTCTAGAAACTGGGATAGAGACGACTGGCAGCCACTTAGGAGGACAACAGGCCTTTCCTCCAGTTGAAGGAACCGGCTCAGTGCACCATGCACGGGCGTACAGGAGGTAGTTGGAAGCAATCTGTTTCTAGATCGTCTTTTTGGGACTTTTATGCAGTCACATATTGCAGCTTACTGCATTTCTCCTGCCTTGCAATAGTTATGACCCATGGGATGTAAGTGATAATAATATGAATAATATCAACACATTCACAAGAAGAAGTCACTCTACCATTTTTACTGTAGGACGATCATTTGTCTTATTTATGAAAGGAAAAAAACAAAAAACCTGTGGCAAGAGCTACAGATGACTGTACCTTCTAAAGAATCATGCCGGGCATGGTGGCACACACCTGCAATTCCAGCTACTCAGGAGGCTGAGAAAGGAGGATTCAGAATCCGAGGCCAGTCTGGGCAGATTAGCTAGACACTGTCTCAAAATAAAAAAATGAACATGGGTGGGGATGTAGTTCACTGGCAAGCATAAGGCCATGGGTGGGGGAATTCACTATTATCTAATATTCACTAAGCCGTGTTCCCGCCATGCAGGTATTGGGAATAGAACAGTAAATAAAAGAGGTATAAAACTGTATTTTTGAAGGGAGAAGACGGATGACAACAAATAAATTAACTGGCTGATGGGTAAGTTGTGAAGACTAGAAAGTAGACTGGCACAGAATGACGAGAGATTAGAAGGGTATGGGAAGGCCGTTCCAAGATGGGATTGACGATCTCAGGCCCCAAAGGTTATGAAGGAGCCACTGCTACAAAAATGTGGGAAAAGAGGCAGAGTAAATAACAAGTCCACAGACCTAAAAGGCGACCATCACTTTGCTGAGCTCCAGGAAAATAGGCTACTGTGACTGAAGTGTAGTAAGTCAGAGAGAGCAGAACTGAAAAGCAGCTACAGAGCTCAAAAGGGGCCAGCTTATCTTAGGCTTTATGGACAAGATAAGGATTTTGATTTATTCCGAGTACAAAGGAGTAGCTGGAAGATCTGAAGTGTGAACATGAGGTGGTCTGCTTGATGCTTAAGAAGAAGATTGCTTTGCTTGCTGAATGGAAGATGGAGTCTGAGTAGGTAAAAGCGGAAACAGGGAGATCGGTAACAAGGCTATTGGCACAGCTCAGGCAGGACATACTGAGGCAGACGATAAGTGTGGCAGTGGCAGCGCTGTGACAATTAATCAGCTACAACCACACCCTGGAAGCCCATCACACGCTTACTGACAAAAGCATGTGTGACAGGGAGTAAAGACGAAGAGCTCACACAGGGAGTCATACGTGGGCACCCTCGGGATTCGTGGGGATTAGGC